CTACTGTCCCCGAGCAGCACCCTCTGGGACCTACCCAAGAGGAAGTACCGGAACCACTGCAAAGCAAATATTAAAGGATTCTGATTGCTATGCTTTGAAGTAGACAATTTCCAAAAAGGAGGAGAGAGAGTGTTAATGTTATCTCATCTTCAGCTAGACATATCCTGCCTGGCACTCATAAATCTTCTAGGTGTGAATGTCCTGCTTTGCAGCTCCTAAGCCTGACCTTTTTGATCTGTAAATGGTTGTAAATGCAGATGTGACTCTGTTTGGAGTGCCTACGTGATGTGCACACTTTGACTTCATGGCGGTGAAGGCTTCTTCCAGCCCAGGCCTCTGACAGGGGCCTAAAAGCGGTCTTGTTATCAAATCAACCATTGTAAACATGCTATAGCAAACTACAATTCCCAGAATTTCATAGCATTGAGCAATGGAAGTTAAAGTAGTATCAAAGTGCATTATTTTTACAATGCAGTTGCCGGCAGTCATGCTGGAGCTTGTAAATTATCATACTTCCCCATATATCCTCCTTTTGTTTATGGGGTGTTGTCCACTAGAAAGTGCACTGATATGTAGACTGAAAAGTTCTTGGTTCCAGTCCCTATTGATACAACATACTCTATTCTTCTTGTTAACAGCCATCAAGTCATCTCTGACCCAGGGTGACCGTATGAATGAGACACTTTGAAGTCACTTTATCATCAACAACCCTGCTCAGTTCTTTCAGACTCAGGGCTGTGGCTTCCTTGATTGACTCTATCTACCTGCAATATGGTCTTCTGCTTTTCCTACTGCCTTCTACCTTACCAAGGATTTCTGTCTTTTCTAATAAGTCATGTCTTCTTATGTCATGTCCAAAATACGACAATCTCAGTTCAGTCATCTTGGTTTTTAGGGATTGTTCAGGCTTGATTTGCTCTTGGACTCATTCATTTGTCTTTTTGACTGTCCACAATATCCCCAGTCTATGTTATCTGCAGAACATCCTACACTTACATAATTTTTAAAAGTTGCTGATGAAAGAAACATACCTAGCTGACCTTAATAGTAATGATAATATACACTTGCGTATATCATTTGGTGTTTCATATGTCTATCAAATGTTTTGCTTACGAGTGTTGAGAGAAGAATGAATGGTTGTATTCACAGTGAAAACCACATGACAAGAATAGATGAGTGAGTTAATTGGGAGGAAAATGGCATCAATACCTTTTGTTAAGGTCACATCACAACTTGTAATTATCCAAACAGGCAAATACATATGATTGAAATGCAAGGCAAGTCAGCCACAGAAGTAATCAGCAGAAGACAACAAACTATAAGTGGCTACTCAGAACACTTCGCATCCTGCTGCACACACACACTAATATGCATATGTCTTGGAATTAGCATTACAAACGCATAATGGATTTTTACTAGAAGGAAGAAAAAATATTCCTGCTATTGACAGCAAGGTCTATGGGAAACAAATCCCAATCATGGCATCTGTTTGAATGCCTTTTTTCCTGGTGTGTTATTAAGTTGCTATAGTGATTATCCATCTGTTTTTGCATCAACTCAATGAATTCTATCAAAACCCAACCTGTTTGCCAGCAACTCTCATCCTGTGAATATAAAACTATTGGATGCAGGAGGAAGCTGTTCTGGATTTCCAGTTCATTGCAACTCCTTCCCTTGTCAAAACAGAGACAATATAATTTTGATCTGTTGGTCTCTTACAGATAATAAATTACAGCATCAGTACCACTGCAGATAGAAAAGGCAAAGGAGGCACTTTTTAAAAGGCACAACATACATTGCTGGCCCCAACGTTCATTCAGAATCTGTGTCTCTGGAGCATCTGGATGGCTTTTCAATTTGCTGAATTTTTCCAACATATGGATAGCAGCAGTATATGCAGTGCATAAATTTGGAATCATGTCAGCCAAGTTATTACAGGTTGGCTAGAAAGCATTTGCAACACAGTTCAGTCCTAGAAATATCTGAGTAATCACCCTTTCCAGACATTCTAACCAGGAAAAATATTCATTCTAGGGATGTCAGGATATTGTTTCATCTGCATTTTAAAGAAATCCAATCTATGTTGTATTTCCCGAACTAGTATGCAGCTTCAAAATATTCATCTTTCAGCATGTGCATTTCTTCATATTTTGCACTATTGTTTTTAGTTCACAAATTTTGTACAAAAATGTTTACATTATGGAAAGTCACTGACAAAATATGTATATTAGCTAAAATTATATATACATATTATCAAAAACTGCATATGAAATGCATACACTAGGGGAAAATCCATCCAGCCATCAATATTCATCACAGTCACAGTTATCATCTGTGACTGAAGCCTGTAGTTTGGGCTTTTTGTCCAATTCTTCTTTATTGTTCCACAGATCCAGGCCACAGCCAACTCATGTAGATTTTTCTCTCTATAATCTTGCTAGAATTAGAACTTTTCTTTCTGTCTCAATGGCCAAGTCCATGCTCTAGTGGTCTTGCACCTAGATTATTCTAATTCAGTCTTGATTGCTCTTCCTCTTTCCAACCTTCAACCTTTAATTTCTGTGCAACACTCTGAGGCCAGAATCATTTTCTCTGCCCATCGTTTCAATCATATCACCCCTTATTGTTATCCCTTCACTGGCTCCCTATTCCTTTTCAGAATCTATTACAAACTTCTTTTGCTGACTTTCAAAGCTCTTCATCGATTAGCTCCCTCTTATTTGTCAGGGGTCGTTTCTTCCTATCACCCTCCCTGTACACTATGATCTTATGACACCAGTTTCCTAACTCAGCCGAGGTTCTTCTCCCTGCTTGCTTGAATTCGCCCCTTTTCCCATGTTTCTCCCAATGCTTGGAAACTTCTCTCTACCCAATTGAGAACTGTTACTTCCTTGGCCAATTTTAAGGCTGAGCTGAAGACAACTTTGTTTAGGGAGGCATTCCATATCACTGACTGTCAGTTTGTCATGATGCTTATGCTTTGAGTCCATGCTTGCTGTATTGTTTTAGAGAGGTTTAAATTTTGTAATATTAATATTTTAGACTGTATGCCATTTGGCAGGTTTTTATTTTTATTTCATTTTTGTTTCTATGATGTAAAGCACTGTGCAAACTCTATAATGCTCTATGAATAAATTATTATCAGCATCATCATCATCAGCAGCATCATCTTACCTTTTCTCAAACTGGGAGCCACTAAGAATGGCCTCTCCCTTATTTCCACCAAACATAAGGGTGGAAACATAATGGCCTCTCCCTCATTTCCACCAAATTCTGTCATGATGGGTGTAGGACAGAGAGAAGTGCTTTCCCAGAAGACCCTAGAGCTTAGACAGACTCATTATGGGAAGATACAGTCTTTCAGATAGCCTGGACATGAGTTGTATGGTGCTTAATAGGTCAAGTTCAGCACTTGGAATCATGCCCAGAAAAAAAATTGGCAGCCAGTGGACCATTAATTGCATTGAAAATAAGTGCACATTTTCATTAACTGGTTGTTTTAATTCACAAAGTAGTGTGGAAATTGTTGGGCAGATGAGACACATGAAACAGAAATAGACTGGAAATCAATTAACTTGTCTACCCCTACATATGAGAAGGTTTAGGCACTGTTGCACTCCACTTTCAAATAAAGGATGTAGTGGTCTCCAGTCTGCACTTTAAGAACACCTGTCCAGCATCAAGCATAGGAATACAACAGGCACTTACCAATGTCCTGCCAAAAGTCAGATTCCTTGTTCCTGAAAAGTCAAGAAAACTGTGTGAAAGACAATCCCCCTCCAAAATTTCCTGTCAAAACTGCAAGAACAAACAAATTCTTTAAAAAAATACACAACCCCAATTCCTCTAGGAATCTGTGCAAAACAGATGTCAATGAAACTAGTCAAATACATTTTGAATGTTTACATAGAATATATCAGTGGCTGAGTCATGGAAACTTCATTTCATTGTATATTGTTATTGCTGCATGCCTTCAAGTCATTTCTGATTTGTGGAAGTGCTATCATGCGGTTTTCTCAGCAACATTTGTTCAGAGGAGGTTTGCCATTGCCTTCAGCTGAGGCTGAGAGAATGTGACTTGCCAAGGTCACCCAGTAGGTTTCTATGGCTGAGCAGGGAATCAAACCCAAATCTTCAGAGTCATAGTCCAACACTCAAACCACTACGCCATGCTGGCTTTCTCATTATATATTAGGAATATTAAATAATATATATTTTTAAAAAGGCAAATCCCAAGGAATATTTAACATTTGAAATCAAGTTCTTTCTGAGCATCTGTGTCCTGTATACTAGAGATATCAAACCAGAGGGACTAAGACTTCTCAGAGTGGGCACCATAAGTTGACAGATGAGTTGAAGACACATACAGTCTTGGAAACATTTTCCAGTATAGAGTTCTTGAAGTTACAGGCAAACCTGCATACATTTTAGTTTTAGGGGAGAAGGTTGCTATAACTGTACATGAGAATAAGTATGAATATCTATTTCTAATAAGCTATATTCATTTCAAATGTGCATATTGTTAGCCTTTTGTAATATTTGTAACAAGACTGTTATTCTTTCCCTCATGAAGTAGGGTTGTAAAATCCCAGATGCTTTCGGACGTTGAATACTTTTATTATGTTCAATATATCTCCTTTTTCTTCTAAAACAATTTGTGCAACAATTATCTGTCAGAGGCCTAGCAAATGAATAACAAAAAGAAGCCTGATATACTATTTTTCCTACTCTGTTGAAACAGAGAAGGCTAATAAATTTCCCAAAAATGCAATAGAAAATGACTGTTACAAACATGATCTGTAAATAATGTCATTTTACCTGGAAATATATTGCTGTTTTAATCTATCTCAATAAACAGTTAAAAACAAAGAAGCCTAGCTCTAGGCAAAATGGGTTAGATTGACAATGAATTTCTTTCCTGCTTTTTTCCATTGTTATCTGATTTTAAGACTACATAAATATTGCGTGGCACCATCTTTACAGCTATCCCTAATATTATCCCTAATATTAATATTATTGTTCTTCTCATCTTATTTTTAACCTCTGTGAATCTGAAGATATTTTCTTATTTAGCCTTGTCTCTGCAGTAGAATTGATATACTGGTTGAGTGTCCTTTCTCCAGAATTCTGAAATCCAAAATATTTCACAAACCAAAACCTTTTTCATGTATGAGTTTTCTAGTGGTTTAATGTACACAACATTTGTTTCATGCACATTTTTTTAAAAAAAGTTAAATTAAAAAACATGTTTAAAATGTTATATGAAATTATTTTCACGCTCTGTTTATAAATGTATATGAAACATAAATGAATTTTGTATTTAGACTTGGGGCCTAAGCAGACGGGCAGCTGTGGGCTGCCCTGGGAAGGTGCGCCGCAGGACCAAGGCATCCCCACGCCTCGATCCTGTGGCGCACTGTCATCGCCCCTGAAAAGGAGTGCTAAAATAGTGCTCCTTTCATATGTCGCCTAAAGTGCACCGCAAAAGGTTGCGGTGCACTTTGGGCGACTTTTCCACCGCAGCGTGTCCGGACGCTGCGGCGGGAGGTCCTCCTCAGAGCGCTGGCCATGTGGAGGGCCGGCGGCTCCGAGGATGACCTTGGGAGGGGGAGGGGGTGCCGAGAGTGCGGCTGCCCCTCTCCTTCCCTGCGCCAAAGATGGCCCAATAAGCCGTCTGCTCAGGCCCTTGGTTCCCATCTCTAAGATAACTCATTATGTAAGCATATGAAAATACAGATATTCCAAAATCTAAATAAATAAAATAAATTCCAAAATCTAAAACTTCTGGTCCCAAACATTTTGGATAAGGGAGATTCATTTTTTATTTCTAACTTTTAGCTTGATTTCTTTCAGCTCAATTGCATTTTTTTCATTCTATGTGCTGTTGCAGACAGGCCCAAAGGGCCAGCCTGGAGAGTTGGGGTGGGGCAGCTGCATACTGGCCACCCCAACACCATCCTGACACCACATGGCCCTATGCATGCCACACAGCATCAGGGTGCCTTCCCTGCACAGCGTTTAAACATACTATGACAAAAGGGCACTGAAGAGTTGCTGCACTGGCTATTTGGGAGCCTTTTGCCACCCCCTAAAAGGAGTGGCATTTTGCTACTCTTTCAGAGGTGGCAAAAGGAATGATTGGGGCCACGGCGTGGGGTTGCCGCAGCCCTGATCCACTGCTCCCCAGAGCGGCTCTCTTCTGCCGCAAACGGGCCATGTGCATCAACCCTATGTCAACTGTGTATACATTTATTAACTAATAAATTTATTTCATTATTATGTTTCCTTTCTTTCAGAGTGGGACACAAGGTGGCTCACATAAAGCATTACAATGAATTTTTTAAAGCAGATAAACATCATCACTTTAAAACACTATAAAATCATTTAAAAGGCATAGGAAAGTTTAAAAATACAGAACACACTCCAGTAAGAAGCCTCTCTGTCTCCACATTAAAAATCTGCTTAAACATTGATAAAATAAATAAAATAAAAAATAAAAATAATACCTACACCTTTGCAGATATTATATCATGATCATTTTTGTGTAGTATTTTACAATTGCCATTATGTGGTGGTATATTATGATGTTATAGTATAATTGGATGTGAGGCTGTATTCACAGGTCAAAAGGATCGTGTTCCCCCTCCCCAGCCTGGGATTATATTCCAGCCCTGGGCAAGGACCAAGCAAACCAGACACTGATCCAGTGGATTTGGCCTGCCCCTGCCACAACTGGTCCTCATCCCAGTCTAAAAAGACCAGATCTTTGCAATGGAGTTTCCCAGAAACTCCGCCATGACATCCAGTAGACTGGGTGGCTACTTGCCCCCTTACTTGCCACCATTTCCACCACCACCTCCATGTTCTATGAAGACCCCACACACTGCATCCTGTGACTTTGGCAGGGAGAGCCAAGCCACATGGGTAAAGCCAGATGCCCTGTTTTCACCCTTATGGACCCTTATGGACCATGGCAGCATCCTTCACAGAGAACAGCACAACAGTAACAAGTGAGGTACTGGCAGAGACAGCAGCTCCACAGTTTGGTGGCAGGTAGGTGTCTGAACACTGGCTTGTAGCCACACTGGCCCAAGTGAGTGCCAGAGGGTGGAACATGCATATCCACAGGCAGGATGCTATAGAGCTGGCCCATGTTCTCTGCCTATGCATTCAACAACTGTATTAACATTATTTTATATGGTGTTCTACCAAAGTTCAAAAGCACATGTATGACATTATTTAAAAAAAGTAATCTTAATGCAGCTATATGTTAAGGTATATTTGCCTTTTTGCATTTTTCTGTTAAAGATAAGGCAGGCAGTGATAATATAGGGGAAGATTCAAATGGTTGAAAAAAGATTAAAAGGTTTGAAATCTGAATTTTGAATTGAATTTAAATTAATTATAGAATTTTCTTCTAAAGAAATTAGAACTTCAGAGGAAAACTCCCAGTCACAAAAGAAACAGCAACAGATAATGTGAAAGAAATTACAGGATGCTGTATTGATAAAAATCCTGAATTAGGAAGCATATGTTTGGCACAACGAATTATCTAATATAAGTAGTTATTACTCTTATTAATGTCAACTGGTATGGAGATTACTTCAGAATGGAAAGACAGTAAGAACATCAGCATCCCAAAATGATGGTCCTGTGTCTATGTGTCTAATAAAGTCTATGGCTCTTACAGGGAAGATAACACAATGGCTTTGGAAGGAACCCTAAAAGAATATACCTTTTTATATGATCACCCTTAAAAAGACTGAAGGATTGTATCAATGAAATGAAACAATCTACTGTGCCCCTATTTTGCATTTAAATTTATGGAAGGAGACAGTGAAAACTTTTTTATGTACAAAATATGATTTGATTATGAACTTATTGGCTTTACTATCATTTGCTTTTTTTGTTTGTTTCTTTGTTTTGGTTATGGCTGATATCACATTAACTGTGTGTAAGGAACTGTTAAGTTATCAATGTATTTTTAAAAACCAATATTTAAATTAATACTAAAAAATCATCTTTGGAAAAATACTTTCCAGAAGTTAAAATTTTTTTGCAGAGATGTCCCATTGCCCATTCATTGTATACATGTACTAGTCCTACTCCCCCATTTATCTGCAAACATTCACTTCATTTGCACACATGCACCACATCATTCTGTTTGCACACATGTACACACTCACCCACAGATCACAACACTTCCACCTCCAATATACATTTACCTCACACATTTCATTCACATACAGTTAATAGCTGATCAGTGCTGCCATAGGATTTCTATCTTTCCTCGTTGTACCTCTTTACACTGAAAGGTCATTTGTGGGATCTACTTTGATTTTTTATTAGCACTTGAAGATCCCTCAGCTAAAGCCAGACAGAGAAAACACAATGAAAATAAAAGACTTCCTGGGCCCAGTAATTTGTCTTGAGTTTCAAAACTGAGTGAAGCTCACAATTCTCCCAGTCAGAAATGACCCATTCCTATCCCATTATCATTTCCGAGTCATTTTGTTGATGCTGTTGTGAAACCGAGAGAGAAAATCTTTCTTACTGAACTGTAAATCAGCCTGAAATCTACTAAGTTCATCCAGCTTCCCTTTCTGTACACTCCTGATCAACTGATATAACAAATATGTGTGTTTTCATGTTTTAGAGTTCTTTTCAAACACATAAGGGTATCACCGTGTGCAATATCAGCTCCTGTGACTGTTAGGCAGTATGAAGTGTGTGGGTTGGTCAGATCTAGTATATGTACTCGGGAGATTATCAGATGGGGAGGGATGGGAGCAAAGCAAATTGCTCCTGTCCTTATCCCATCCTTATCACGCGATCCCACGAAAGACTACCACACACGTTGCACTTATCCCGTCATTATCCTGTCAATGAAGTGGAATTGTCCTGTCACTTTTCAATAACAGAAACATCCACTAATGAAAAATGACAAGGTAATTCCACTTCACTGACCAGATAATGATGGAATAATCATAATTTAGTCTGATAATCTTTCACGCAATGTGCAATAATTCCACTTGACAGATGAAATAATGATGGGATAAGTGTGAAGTCATCTGATAATCTTTACACAATCACATGATAAGGATGGAAAAAGGATGTCCTTTCCCCTCAGTGATAAGCCCCTCAGAGCCAAGCATTCTACACTTTTAACATCAACAG